GAACTTGAGATGAGAGGATTGTGATTTTAGACCAACTAGAGCTAGACCAGTAAGAGCCTGTCTCAAAAAAGAAAAGCGCATTTGTGTCCATTAAAAATTCACCGACTATAAAATGTGTGACGCTTAATATGAAGTTTCAAAAACAAAGCCTATGACTTTATATCTTTTGTAGTCTCTTTTCCATAGATATATGGAATTGTTTTTCTCAAATTAAGAAATTTAATACTTCCATATGATATTGTAATGAATGAAACACTACTATTGGTAAATGTTAATAACAAAATAAGTCTCTAACCTATAGAAATGTCTACAAATTTATTGGGCATTTTGTTTATTATTATAATTATTGAGAAAATTTTGATAAATATTTTTAAAACCTATCTTTGATAAGTATGAATACCTTATACAAAGTCTTAGCTATAAAATATATCTAAAAATGTTCCTGCTCAGTAGGTGAAGTAGAATTCTTTAATTATATTTAATTGTACAAAGGAATTTCTATTTAACAAAGCAGTTTATGAATACAATGTGTCTTGATCAATATCAACCCTTTCAACATTCTCACCCATCCTTCTCCTCCCCAACCCTGTCCTCACTCTTCTTAATTTTATAGGTTGTACATTGGATTCTTAACTGTATTTCCCACTTCTTCATTTGTTTGTTCTTTGCCCTTTGACCCCACCTCACCCCTTTCAAGTACTCACTTCTTGGTGGTGTATTTTGCTGAACTTTGATTTGGGCTTTCTAAGAAAATACACAATTTGAGTTCACTTTTGAATCTACTGTGTTTCAGGCAATACATTTGTATACACTTGCATTCCACTTACCCCATTTATTTATGAGTTTGTAAGCTAAACCTAGCTTACACATATAAGGCAAAGCATAAGTCCATTGTCTTTCTGACCCTGACTGATTTCACTTAACATAGTTTCCAAGTCCTTCCATTACTTTACAAGTACTACAATATTTATTTTTCGTTTCTTATTATCTTTAAGTAATGGTGGTGCAAAGGAGTTGCCATTTAACAAAGCTGCCTATGAATGTAAAGTATCTTGATTGGTGTCACCCCTTTCAACCTTCTCATCCACCCCTCCCCTACCTATTTCTTTCCTCATTCTTCTTAATTTTGTAAGATATACATTGTATTCTGATCTGCCGTTATCCCTTCTTCTCTGCTTCATTTGTCTACCCTACTTTTTTGAGGAGCACTTTTTATTTTCCAGTTTGGGGCTTTGAACTCAGGACCTTGTGCTCACTTAACTTCTTTGGATGGTATTCTCATAGAATACCATGCCTCCATCCTGGTTTTTTTAAAGTTATTTGGAGGCTGGAATTGCACCAATTTTTCTGCCTGGGCTGTCTTTGAATCATGATCATCTGGAATGGAACCTCCTGTATAGCTAGGATTTCATGAGTGAGCCATCAGAACCCACAGAGGAGCACATTTTAGTGTACTTGGTAGATGTGACCTTATATTTGCAAGTTTTGAATGTACACTATTTGAAAATTGTATTCTTATTTCTGAGCATGTATGGATCAACATAACTGAAACTAATCTAGATATTAAACACAAAAAGGATTAGTTAGAAATAGCATTTGAGAGGCAGCTTTAATTTTATTTCTCATATCAGTTCCATAGATTTAGAACAGCATTTTTTTCTTTTTAAATCCATATGCTTTTGTTTTTTATTGTCATATTTCACTGGCTTTTTCAGTGTCAAATAGAAGTGGTGAAATGTCTCCTCATACATTTCTCTTTGGCCCTAATTTGTTTCTAATTGTTGTTTATCATGGATGAAGGTTGGATTTGCATTGTATGTTGCTCATGTGTCTATTGAGATTGGCTCTTTGTTTCTTTTTCATACATACCACATTAAGTGGTTTTTGGAAATTAAATGAATCCTGTGTTCCTGGACAAATCATACTTGATTCTGGTATAAATCCTTCCTATACTATTGTCATATTTGGTTTTCTATATCTAATTAAAACAACAATTTTAAATTAAAATAATAGACATATGAATGTTATAGCTTAGTGTCATAGATTGAGCGATTTTGGAAGTAGTCTCCGAGACTTTGTTGGGAGGTGGTTTGGGAAACATCAGCTGTGAAGAATGAGGAATATAGAATTGAGAAGAGGATCCAGGTGCTGGTGGTTCATGCTTATAACCTTAGATATTCAGGGAGCTAAGACTTGGAGGATTGAGGTTTGAGGCTAGCTTGGGCTGAAAGTATGTGACACTTCATCTCCAAAATAACCAGCATAAAGCAGAGCTGGATGCATGTCTCAAGTCATAGAACACCAGCTGAGCAAGTATTAATAATCTGTTATTGGAGGGCAACAGGGGGACTAGACTTCAATTCAGTCACAGTGGGGCCTCAGTTGCTCTTAGATCCCACTAGGAGCAATGGAGATGAGAAAAAAAAAAAAACTTCAGAGTTCTTTCTCCCTGAGGCAAAGGACAAAAAACATATCCACACCCTACTTTAATCATCTATTATTGCTTGTGTTAGCAAAGCATTTTACTTGAGGCTCACCTTGGGTACATTCTCTTTGGCTCAGGGTGATTTAGGAGAAGGACCTTAGATGAGTACTATCAACCATTTATCTCCAAGCAGCTAGGAGAAAGAATCCATCCATTCCAGAAATAGGTCCGTGTAGTAGACATCAGCAACTACTACACCTATAATTTAATAGCAAGTTTTGAGGTGGGAATAGTTAAGCCCACGTGTTTTTCCCAATTTTATAAAGTTTTATGAGTGTTGTATAGTCATTTTGTACTTTATGAAGGAAATTCATTTGTCAGAGTGCCTTCGATTATCTGTATGTCTATGAAAATTATATGCATATCCTGGAAAAGAGAGGGGAGAAATAAAATTTACACCTTGCAATCAAATCAACATATTTCACTCTGTGTTTTACTTTGCAGTAGATTTTTTTTAAAGTGTGAATTTAACTATTTAGAATCTTGAACCTGACAAAGACTTAAAATGAACTAATTATAAAATTTGTAGAATGTGTTCAATTGCTTTCTTGTAATTACACACAGGGAAACAACAGAAACAACTTAAGGGCTTATTAACTTATAATTTCTCTACATAATGTGTTTTTAGTCCTTACTTATTTTGAGGGCCTTAAGATCAAACATAATGAATTTATTTTACCAATATCTTCACATGGAAAATTAAATAATTTAAAATTAGTTATCGATGCTCACTATATTTTATATACATGTTAAAATCATACCCTTGATTTTTTTAACCAAACTTACTTTATTTCTCAGTTTTCTAAGACACTCACAAAAATTTTATTTTGGTTCTTTAACTTTTTATTGAAAGGAAACTTTGAGCAATACAATATTATTCAGGACAGGTCTATCACTGAAGTTTTATGGATGCGTTCTCTAGAAAAGGTTATACACCCACACTCAATCCACTACCAGGTGGACAATAAAATAACTTTATGGTAGGCTCTCGTGAACATAGACTTGCTATATTTTGCTTTTATCTCTGTTTATTTGAACATCTGTCTTCTATTTCCTGCCTTGTACTATTTGGTTGTTGTTTTTTTTTAAGTGGTTTGCTGATTTTAACTTTAGTTGTTGATCTTGCACTTGAAGAGGATGTTTTAAAGAGGGAAGTTAAAACAGCAAGGAAAAAAATACTGTTTTTGTTAATTTGGCTCCAACTGATTTTATACCTGGTAGCAAGAGAGCTTATGGTTCTTGCATGTGTGGTTAATTAAATTCTGTACTGATGGCTTCTGTTTCAGGTATTCCACCTTGGTATCCAGCTTGTTAGCAGATCCTCTGCCCAACAGGATTAGATTTGTCACTGGGGAATCATTTCAGAATGTTTACTTTGTGTGTGGAGGGCGGGGTGATGGCATCTCTCTCTATTCTGGAGGACAGATCAGTGGAAGAGGGGCACACATCTTCTCTCATCACTCACCTAGAATTCTTTGCCATGAGAGAGAAAACTCACCCATTTCATTTTGTGTACTCATTGCATTTGGGATTCTCACTGGCGGTTTTTTAGTCTATTGCTTGCCTCTCAGATTAGGAGAATGTTGATGTCTTTTAAGTTCCCAAGGATTCAAACTGCCCTTAATTAACAGCAAATTAATGTTTTGGAATGCTATAAAAATATAGGAGACTGAACAGAGGGGATAAGCTTCCCTCCTTCCAGTTTCTGAGTGTGGTGGGCTCCTCATGCAGAGGTGGCTACAACCAGGTGTCCTCTTGCCAACAGCTGGCTGCCCACTAGTATGCAACGGGAATGCCTTTGTTCTAATTCCACCGCTTGTTGATTTGTGCCTATCTAAAGTTTCACCTACTTAGTACCTGGTTGAAGCAACTGAGTTTCTATATACTCAAAGCTACAGGGTTTCTGGATAACACAAGGTTGCTGGACTTGTAGCATTGGGTTTATGGATCATAATCTTCAAGTTTCCAGGCAGTGAATTGCCCACAGTTAAGTTTCTTTCCTGTGCCAAATTTCATGTCATCTTCCTGGCAGAGTTTTGGACTGGTGAAAAAGCACAGGTTTTGGTTTGGTTTGGTTTTATTAACAAAGCACCCACTCTGATTTTAAGCATATTGTGAACAGATTCATTTTCAAAGAAGGATGGCCAAGCAATGGTGGAGGTGTATGGCTTTTAGAATTCAGAGATTTTGGTTGCAGGTTTATTACTGATCCCCATCTAGAGAGCAAAACAAAAACAGGCCAGGAGTTTGAACTACTGACTGCTGATTCCATAACCAGATAGCTATGATCCAAGAAAAAAAAAATGCAGCTCAGCTAGCTTTGCCTGTCTCGTGGTCAATCTGTTCACTTGCTGGTTCCCAGTTGAGCTCAGAAGACTCCATGTCTTGTTTCTTCCAGTGACCTACAAAGCTGATGTTTTTGTTTCTAAAGAACTTAAGGTTTTTTTGTTGTTTGTTTGTTTACTTGTTTTCTATACTCATATCCCTGATTGCTCCTTTTGCTCTCATCTCTACAGGTGGTACATGCCAGAGTCCTGCTCTCCCAGCCCTAGTCCGTCCACCAGCTCCCCCTTTGCAACCGTCGCTGGATATCAAACCATTTCTTCCCTTTCCACTTGACACTACAGCTGCAGTCAACCTCTTCCCGAATTTTAATGCGGTAAGTACTCACAGCCAAAATTTTATCTGCCAGAATAACAGGTACTGGGACATCTTCTCTGGAAATCATGATGAAGTCAGTTGTCTGCCTGGTTGTGTGTCCCCAGAGCCAGACTTTTTACATGGAAATGAAAAGAGATACCCTTATTTATTATTATCCGTAGTTTGTGATGTCTCTTGTTTTTGGCAACACCAGCACCTCCATCATTTTGTTGAAGCATGTCAGATTGAAATTTAGCAAACTTATTACAAGAGGAGGTTAAAATTCAAGTAGATGTTTGTTTCTTCACTCTGAATCTAGTTTGTTCTTCAAATCTGGCTTACCTAACTTAAGGAATCCTGACATGAGCGTAATAATTTTCGTGTGTCTAGTACTTCATCCTAACTTAGAACAACTCAGTGTTCTGATAGCGACTGTTTTAATATCGTTTTTCCATCTTGTGGAGCCACAGTTGAGTGGAGTATTTCTGAAGCTAATTTGTTTCTTTGGGCTTTGTCAATTGCCTTCTTGGCATAAGTTCAATTGTACCACGCTCCCCCCTCCCCCCATCCCATTTTCACTTTTAAGCTGACTTTATAAGCGGCAAGATCATCATATTCATTGTAATTCTTTTTCATGTAAGTATTTTAGGATGGAAATTGAAAGAAGGGTTGAAAAGGTTAGGAGCATTTAAGTGACAGATTTCGTAAATATCATCTGATTCAGCTTTCAGCAGTGTTTACAATGCCAGACTAAGCTTACCAATGACAGGATATGTCAACCCAACCAAAGCAAAGAGGATTAATATGAGAGGTCACTGAGTGCCTGTGATCTAAATAACATTTTCTTATTGCAACATTTACTCCCATGAAGGCTTAAAAAAAAATTCAGCCCACAATTAAATTACTCTTCAGAGGAGAGAAACAGGATACACACACACACAAATATATATATATATATATATATATACATATATATATATATATTGATAAAAGAAACCCGCAATATCCTGAAGAATGTATTGCAAAATACAGTTTCTAATCCTAGATGTCATGAAGAGTACAGAAAAAATTGTTTGTTACCCAATCTTGCAGGTTCATTTATATCCTGCTTCTTTGCAGAAAATGTCCATTAAAAACCTAGAAATAATTTTGGTGAGTTACTTAAGATCTTTTAAGTATAGACTCATATCATCTGCAAATCTGGATAATATGACTTTCTTTCCTATTTGAATCTCTTTTATTTCTTTCTCTTATTTTTATTGTTCTGGCTAAGAATTGTAATATTATAGTGAATAAAAGTAGGAAGAATGGAAACCTTTGTTCTTAAACTTCAAAGGAGTTGTGTTTTTCTTGGTGTAACATGATATTGACTACAGGTTTGTCTTTTAGAGGCTTTACTATTTTGAAATTGTTTCTTTTATTCAATTTCTCCAGAGATTTTAATCATAAAGTAATGTTGAATTTTCTGCACGCATTGAAAAAAACCATGTCATTTTGTCCTTGATTCTCTTTATATGCTGTATTACATTTGCTGGTTTGTGTACAACAAACTATCCTTGCATCCTTGGAATAAAACTAACTTTCTCATGGTAAATGGTCTCTTTAGAAAGTTGTTTGCAAGTGTTTGATTGACAATTGTGACAATATCTACGTTTATGAAAGAAATTATTCTATAATTATCTATCATTTCTATAATTTAATAGGGTTTTGGTATCAGGATACTCTTCATTAAATGAATTCATAGCATTTCCCTTATATTTTACAGAAGAGTTTGAGGAGTACTAGTGTTAGTTGTTTTTTTTTTCTTTTTTGTCGGTCATGGGGCTTAAACTCTGGGCCTGGGCATTGTTCCTCAGCTCTTCAGCTCAAGGCGAGCTCTCTACCACTTGAGCCACAATGCCACTTCCGGTATTCTAGTAGTTTATTGGAGATAAGAGTCTCACACACTTTCCCTGCCCAGGCTGGCTTTGAACCGTGATCCTCAGATCTCAGCCTCCTAAGTAGCTAGGATTATAGGCATGAGCCATCGGTGCCTGGCTACTGTTAGTCTTTTAAGGTCTCATAAAATTTGGCAGCGAATACATGCAATTCTTAATTGCTATGCAGTCTCATTGCTTGCTATTGATCTATTTAAGTGGTTTATATCCTCTTATTTAAATTTGGTTGAGACAAATGCATTTAGAAATGTTTCTTCTATATTTTACAGTTAATTAGTACATTAGTACATAGTTTTCAAAGTATTTCCTAATGCTATTCTGGATTATATAATTATTTGCTGTGTCATTTCCTATATTGTTTCTAATTTTATTGATTTGGTCTTTTTCCCTTCTTCTTTGGCTTAGTTTGACTAAGGGATTATAAATCTCACTTATATTTTCAAAACATTGACACTTTGTTTTGCAAATCCCTTGTGTAGTTTTGGTCACCATTTTATTAATTTCTAATGATTATTTTTAACACCTATTACTTTTGAGTCTGGCCTGAATGTGTGTGTGTGTGTGTGTGTGTGTGTGTGTGTGTGTGATATTTTCTTGATCCAGTAATTGGTTGTAGGGCATCTGGGATGTTTCCATGACTTGGATGGTGAACTATGCTGCAATTAACAAGAATATGCTGATTCAATTTTCATACTCTGACTTAACTTTTTTTTGGATAAATGTCCAAAAGTGATGTTGTTGGATCAAATGGTTGTTCTTCTTTTAGGTTTATGAGGAATCTCCAGAATGCTTTCCATAGTAGTTGGACTAATTTATATTCCTAGTAACAGGGAATTAGACTTTTTTCTCCCCACATCTTTGAAAGCATTTGTTTGTATTCTTGATGGTGGCTGTTCAGAGTGAGATAGAATCTCAATATCACTTTGTCTGTGTCTTTTACAGGCTAGGATGTTAAGCATTTCTTCATGTATTCATAGACCATTTGCTCATTTATTAATTAGGTTATCGATAATTTGGAGATTTAATTTCTTTTTACTTCCTTGTATATTCTGGTAATTAGACCCTTGTTAGAAGTATTACTAGCAAAAATCTCTGACTAGTTGCTCTAAAACTAACCTGATTTCTATTTATGTATATCTTTATATATTCACATATGTGTATATATTCATACATGTAGGTAAATAAATAGATAAATAATGTAGATAAGGAAAATCAGACAAAAATTTCCATTCACAGTAACATTAAAATTACCTAGGAATAAATTAAACTAAGGAGATGAAAGACATCTGAAATGAAAGTTATTAAGCGTTGATGACAGAAACTCAAGAACAAAGCAGAAGATGGAAAGACCTCCTACACTCATGAATAGGTTAGAACTAATATTGTGAAAATGGATAAACCAATGAAATTTATCAGCAAATTCAACGCAAAGACCACTAAAATCCAAACATCATTGTTCAAAGAAATGTAACAATTCTGAAATCTGTGGAAATATAAAAGACTTTAAATAGCAAAAGAACTCCCAAACAAATAGAGCAATGCTGAAAGTATCAAAATACTGTATTTCAACTTGTACTACAGAGCCATAGTAACAAAAATATCATAGTATTTACACAAAATCAGTCTCAAGGATCAATGAAACAGAAGACTCAAATATAAGCTTTCATAGTTATACCAATTTTATTTTTAATAAAGGGGCTAAAATGTATATAATAAGGAAAAGGACATTCTCTTCAACAAATGATGCTGGGGAAACTGGTTATCTACTTGCAGAAAATATCTCATCCTGTACAAAATAAACCACACAAAATGTATCAAAGATATTCATGTAAAACCTGAAACTTTAAAACTACTTCAGGAAAAATTTGGAGATAAACGGAAAGATATAACCATAAGCAATTATATTTTGAATGGGAATCTAATATGGTGAATAATAGCAAGAATTAAAAAGTGGGATTCTATCAAATTGAAAAGCATCTGCATAACAAAGGAAATAATTAACAATGAAGAAACAGCCCATAGGATGAAAGAAAATATTTGCCAGCTATTCACCAGGTAACCCATAATAGTCAGAATGTTAAAGGCGCTCAGAAAAAAAAAATCCAAAGAACAAGTTTTCCAATCATTAAATGAGCAGATGAATTGAACTGATAGTTCTCAGAAGTGCCAACGGTTAATAGATGAAGTTATTCAACATAGCCATAAAACAATGCAAATCAAATTATACTGAGATTCTCACCTCAGTCTAAAAGCAAATAAGTTTATCTTATTTTGAGAATGAATGGGGAATCACAGAAACGTTTTAACAAAGGGTGAACCAGTGCAACAGTGATACTCACTGGATACCATGTTGGAAATGAACTTTACAACTTGGAGGAGAGGGGAGTTGGGATGGGTGGAAGTGGAGGGTAACACTATTCAAACAGAAATATACTTATTACCTTACTTATGTAACTGTAACCACTCTGTAAATCACTTTTACAGTATTTTTAAAAGAAATATTAAAAAAAAAAGAAAATAGCTGGGTACTGATGGCTCACACCTGTTATCTGAGATCTTTGGATCACGATTCAAAGCCAGCCCAGGCAGGAACATCTGTGAGACTCATCTCCAGTTAACTACCAGAAAACCAGAGTTTTCTGGAATTTTTGAGTGGTTGAGTGATAGCATTGAGCTGAAGAGCTCAGAGACAGTACCCAGGCCGAGTTCAAGCCCTAAAACCAACCAAAAGAAAGAAAGAAAACTAAATAAACAAGAAATACCTGTAAGGATGGAGGGGAAAAGAACTCACATACATTGTTGGTGGAAGTGTAAACCAATGAAACCACCATGGAAATTAGGATGCAGGTTCTTCAAAAAACTGAGACCTAACTTATTCACCCTCTATATATTACTCTGGCACATATCTCTAAATGTAAATCAGTTTACAAGACAGATAAAATTCTACATTTATATTTATCTTTGCACTATTCACAATAAGAATGAAGCTAAGTGTGCAACAACTAACTGATGAATGGATCTAGAAAACATGGCAAATACTTCATGCAATATTATTCAGCCATGAACAAGAAGAGAATTATAT